ACACTTACCTTAACACTGATGTGGTAGTCTCGTGGACACCTTCCTCTCAATATGCACACATGATCTTGCTACCGCACCCTGCCGTACACCGACCAACGCGCGAGCTAACTATGGCAAGGTACTAAGAGTGGCGACGCTCAAATTTGAAAATTAATGGTAATAAACCGAATTTTATATTGTGCCGGTGTCTGTTGGACTACCACGTCAGTCACAGAGGGTTAAGGTCCGCCGCCCAACCAGTATCCAAATTGCATATTATATACGTACCAACGTACGTACCAACGAAATAGTATCTATCGTCCACGCGGCTGAAGTTGAGGAAGCTAATCATACGTAATTTATAGGACAAACTTATTTTTTAGATGGCTGACTCAAGTAAAAACCCTAGGCCAGATGCTTCTTCTACTCGTAAGAGAACGTCGTCTGAAACTTTTGTTGGTCATGAAAATCAAATAATAGAGTGGCTGGAAGAGGAAAGTGACCACGAGTTTAGTGATGTTGACGATCTAGATGACCTTCAATAAGACTTTACTTTATGTGATGAAGATCCAGAGTCAGACATAGAAGCGTGACAAGATCCTGCCATTGTAGTTGAACGCCAACGATCTTCAGACGTGTTAGAAGACCACTTCACAGGTAAAAACGGTTTCATTTGAAGTAAACAAGAGCGTCCTAGGATATTACGTATTGCAACTCATAATATATTTCGATTACCAGGCCGTACTACAACAACTAATTTTAAAGGTTACTTGGAACTTTGGTCTTAGCTGATTGACCCCACAATGTTAAAATCTCTTGTGCGAAAATGAGGAGAGAAACTTTTTTATTTAATTTGGCAAGAGATATAGTGCTGAATCATATGAAAACCATGGTATACAATGAAAGATTGCCAAGGGAGCTGCGCATGACAATCACTAGGGTTTTTGGTAAGGATATCCCCCCACCACCACCAGTAGTTTGGTCTGCTCCACCAAGTGGAAGAAAACTTTGTTCTATTTGTCCAACAAAAAAAAAAACTAAATATTGTTGCTGTGATTGTTCAAAGCCAATTTGCTTTCAGTGCTCCAAGCCACTGTTTGATAATTGTCAAATATAGCTGTGATTTTGAAAATGTATAATTTTGAAGTCAACCAATGAATGTATCTGAACGAATTTAAGTAATATAATTACAAAATCAACTTTTTTAAACGAATTTAAAAAAGTTGATTTTGTAATTTTTTCTAAGTCATATATGCAATTTGGATACAGATGATAAACCAGGGTCACATTGGCTAGCTTCATATATCGATACGAATGACGTCGGTCAATGTTTTGATTCATATGGACGATCACCTGTACGATATCATCTAGAGTTGTTAAAAAAGATTGTAAAAGATGGAACTGGAATGTTGATAGGATTCAGAATTAGTGGACTTCAGTTTGTGGCGAATATTGCTTAATGTATTTGCTATATAAGTTTCAGGGATGTTCAATGCAGTTTTAGGAGTATATTTACGCCATACACATTGTACAACGATATTTTAGTGAATAAGATGTTTCGCTCCTATTTTATAGATAATAAGTAATAAGATTTTGTATTCTGTAAATAAAAATTGTAAAAAAATTAAGTAATGTGTTTTATTGATGATTCAGATTAACTACAAGTTAGGAACAAAGAAGTATAATACAAAAGCCAGAATAACAATGACGGTGTTTAATGAACAATAGATAAATAGATAAGAACAATGGGACGCTAATGACGGTCGAGGCCCTCACCAGATATCAATTAGATGTTAGTTAATTGATCTGCACATCTCCGGAACCGTGCATCCTACGCAAAAACGGACCGCAGATTTGTGATCAGAGCATTCACTTTCTGCTATTGTCTTTGTAATATTGTATACGAGGGCGTTTGTGTTGTCGTAGATGCTATCCTTATTAGTCTTTACGTAATATTTAATCCTCGTGGAAGCATGTTTCCAATGATCAGTAGTTGGAATCTTGGATAGCTTCTTCATATCGTACATTTCAATTTTGATGAGATGCGTCACTTGGTCTCCGTCGTCAGAATTAGAAATGTATGATACACCATCTCTAGCGGCGCGTGCTACGGTTGATGATAACAGCTTCCTATTTTTTATTTTTGATTCAGCTTCAAAAAATGATCAATCGATTGCGACTTTCTTTTTCCACCATCGCATGTGTTATTATTAATGACGATGGCATCACTCTCTTCTTGAGGGGAGAGTGGCGAGTAGTAATACTGTTTATAGGTATTTTCATCGAAGCTCAATGATTTCTGAAACAACACAGTTATCATGTTAATATCAATTTGTTAACACTTAATCATAAAAGTTAAAAAAGTTAAAGTTACAGCCTATTAAAGTCCACTGGTGAACATAGGCCTCCTCTCATTTCTGAGAGGGTTTTAGGGCTAGGAAATGTACGCCGCGTGTTGGCGAACTTCGCATACCTTTAAAATTTTCTCCGACATGCAGGTTTCCTAACGATGTTTTCCTTCACCGCCGAGCACGTGGTAAATCAGCACTTAACAATTTAATTAGTGCCGGCGGGGATCGAACCCGGGTCGCGTACTGTGAAATTTACAACTTGCGCTTACCATCTGAGCTACCACGGCTTAATCATATACACACACAATATTTAAATATAATTTGTTAACACTAAATCATACACACGTAATAAAACAACAGAAAGAAAAGTAAGTTTGTCCATAGAATAAATACTTACATCCCTGGCCTTTGATGCGTTGAAGTAACACAAATGTAGTATTGATAGATCCACTGCGGTCAAACGACCATACACTTACTCCATGACTGCAGCTGCTCGGTCTTATATAGCACCAGTAAGTAATAATTCTAATCTAAAAATTTCTGCAGTGAAACTGATAGTAACTTTATGCGTCAACAAGCTTATCTCACATTCTATTGCTTATCTCAACATTCCTTAGTGTTGCGTCCTGTTCGATGTGTCGATGACTCAAATCGATTTGTATAACACAAAAGAATGCAATTTCATATTTAGAAATCACTATAATTGATCATTCCTATGTTAGTCATTGAGTAGATTGGTACTGTAATAATCTACTAATAGCAGTAATATCATGGATACACTAAATCTACAACAACATCTGAAAAAGATTCACCCCAGTCTAGAAAATAATGTTTTTGCTGCTAATAGACTGCCCATGTATACCCACGTACCAACGTATATAATATGGAATTTGGATACTGGTTGGGCGGCGGGCCTTAAGGTTGCCGAGTCACTATTCCCCGGTCGAGCCTTGACCCTCCTACGCGAGATGTTATACTAGATGGACTGTATACGCGGTTGGCTTCTTCTGCTTCAACAAAATGGCGGCTGTAGCATGCGGTTCCTTGACAATGCACTCGCTCTTCCAAAAAAAACCTATTGCTTGCCAAGGTCTATGGAGGAATCCTGCTTGATCACATTAGGAGAAATGAAATTGGGGCGGATTAACTCACAAAACACAAATACTTAAACAGGCGTCGTAATAAAGGAAGCGCACTTACCGGGGTGTTACTTCGATGCTGCTTGGACGCTTTGTTGCTGCGGTGCGACTTCTGGCGGATCTCCTGGGGCCCCAGGGATGCGGTCCTGGTCGGTGGTGCGATGGAAGAGAGCGGTGCGCGACTATATCTCACACGAGGTGAGGCGGTTACTCCTGGAGCGCGACTGCTCCAGGCGTGGTGCGGTTGAACTAGCGGTGCGCGTGGGCAAGACCCCTCTAGGACGCGACTGTCCTAGGCGAGTGGTTTCAACTAGCGGCGCAAGGGCAAGAGAGCGCACGAGGGCCGTGTGCTAGCTTAAATTACTTCGGCCCTCCCATCAATGCGTCTCGGATGGGCGCGCTTCTCATTGGTTGCAAATCACGCGACATTCTAGAATTATCTTCTTTCCCCTCTCACCTCACCACCCCGGTGTGTACGGAAAGGATAGGTGAAGGAAAGGTCGAAGGAAGGACAACCTTGGCAAGCATACCCTCGAATAAAATAAAAATACGAATGGTTTTTCGCGCAACCAGATACAGATGATAAACCAGGGTCGCATTGGGCAGCTTTATATATCGATACGAATGACGTCGGTCAATATTTTGATTCATATGGACGATCACCTGTACGATATCATCTAGAGTTGTTAAAAAGGAATTGTAAAAGATGGAACTGGGTTGTTGATAGGATTCAGAATGAGTGGACTTCAGTTTGTGGTGAATATTGCTTAATGTATTTGCTATATAAGTTTCAGGGATGTTCAAAGCATAGTTTTACGAGTATATTTACAGGGAACACATTGTACAACGATATTTTATTGGATGAGATGTTTCGCTCCTATTTTATAGATAATAAGTAATAAGATTTTGTATTTTGTAAATAAAAATTGTAAAAAAATTAAGTAATGTGTTTTATTGATGATTCAGATTAGCGTTGTAGTTAGGAACAAAGAAGTATAATACAATAGCACTGATAAGTCGACGCACACGCCGAGGAAGAATAGACAGTGACGGTGTTTAATGAACAATAGATAAATAGGTAAGAACAATGACGCTAATGACGGTGGAGGGCCTCACCGGATATCAATTAGATATTAGTTAATTGATCTGCACATCTCCGGAACCGTGTATCCTACGCAAAAACGGACTGCAGATTCGTGATCAGAGCATGCCAAAACCTTCTTTTTTTAGGATCGTGAGTCGACGAACGTTGTACCACTTCTGACTTAGTGAGCTAGAACAGGTACAACGTAACTACTCAAAGCTGCCACGTGGCTCTACCACCTGTAAAGCTTCACATCAAACATAAGTTTACTCACGAAGTTTTCCCTAACCATCCGCAATCCGCATCCTCGGTTGATTTCCATTTTCAATCATATTTTCCTATAATATGTCAAACGCCTCCGTGATACAAAACAAATTTCTAGTGTGATAAGGTGTTTAAATAAAAATGCTTTTTGATAATACTCGAATCGAATGTTATTTTCGAATTTTATCGCAAAGTAAATTGCAACATTGTTATAATGAAGTTGGACAGAAGGTGAATAATTTTTAGCAGAAGGAACGCATCCATATGCCACATATCGTAAACAGAGAACTTAGGCGGCATCTCTTCTATCATTTTTCTCATTCTTTTAGCTTTCTCTCTTAATGGCCCTGAAATTAAGACTTTATTACATAAGTAATTAAACAAAGCTGTAAGACAGTACATAAGCCAGCGATTAAAATGCTTCGCACGAGTTTCGTATACGAGGCTACTAGGTTACATATGTATGTTTATTTTTTTTATTAGGAACCTTTAACATCATTTTTTAGTTCTGGAGCTTGATATAGAAAAACATATCTCGTCCTATTTATTGCCACAAAGCACATTACTGATGTCTCAAGAACTGTTTACCCTAGTCCAGAAGTCCTAGACTAAATGTTTTACCTCGTGAGGACTCGGAGTGGCATTGTTATATATTGTTAGTCAAATAAAGTAATGACCTGACTTTTAAAATAACCCCCATCGCGTATAGTAACCCTTATCGCGTATATTAAATTATTTCATATTCCCGACGTCCGACTTAATTATATATTGATTTTATCTAAATATAAGTATACCCGGCTACGTCTGGATAAGATTTATTAATATGGCGTTATTTAGGTTTAAGATAAAGACCATTTCTTTTATAGCGTTTTAGATTTCTTCTACAATATTTTAGTTTTCTTTTTCAAGAAAATTAACAATTTTTTTGGATAAAACATAGCCCAGCGGCTGCAGTCTCGACATAAATAACGATCACTTTACAACCAATATTTGTTGTTAAGTCATAACAATCCGAATATAACGATTTTTGGTAGTCTGTACTGTCAAAGCGATCGGTACCGATCGTAAACTTTACAATTATTTGTTATGTTTGCTATTATTTTAACTACCATTTTTGACAGCCCGCTAAGTGTTAGTTACGATCATAAGTTGTTTCACAGTTTTATAAATAATCTTTATCTATTATAATACAAGGTTATAATAAAAGTATTAAGTAATTATGGCGGAATCGTATTTAGCATGGGATTTGTTAGAAAACAAATTGTCTATATAAATTTGTTTTTATAAGTATGAGTTTTACCCCATTGTACTTTGAGGCTGTCACGTCATTTAATTTAATTTTTGATTAAATGGCTGTTACTTTTCTATAAGCAATTTGAAACATATTGGAAAATACAGTCTTACAAACTTTTATCATTAGGTAGAACACAGATATAAGTTGTGCTTCTTTTCCTTTTTTGGTTTGTTAGTGCTCTTCTGACATTTTCAGATCTGATGAATTTCGGGAGATACATTTTTTTCAGTGTTACTTTTAAGCTATAGTATTGAGAAAAGAGGTCAAAACCACAAAACTTTTCATAGCACTTGTAATTGAATGTTGCTATGCATTATATGCTTGTCCTTAGGTTTTTCTTTACCATATTTTTACCGCCTATGTCCACTTAGCCCTTCAATTATCATGTTCATAAGTAATCTAATATCAAAAGCTTAGGCAAAACAATGTGGGATCAACAGGTATTAAGGCTATTTCCAGCCTGCATAAATTGCTTAAAAACATGAAGTATCTTCCCCTTATTATTGATAGTAAAAAGTGTTATTGGATACATTTCACTGAGCAGTTTAAGTGAAAAAGTTTAAATTATACTCATTAGTCTTAAGGGCTTAGATAGATAGATTAGATATATTAGATTATATTTTTATTGCACCTAGTTACACTCCAGAACATCATCAATAATAAATAAATCTATTTATTATTTATTAGCACAAAAAAAGTACACTCACTAACTAAGTTTATTTTAAATTATTTTAGGTGTGTGACCCAGACCTGTTAATTTTGAACATCAATGCTAAATGGCCAGGAGCTAGACACGAGCAGCCTGCGCCTGCGTCACTGTCCCCCACCATTGAAAATTTTATATAAACTATATTTTATATATTAAAATATATGATATGTTTTATAAAATGTGTAGCATAAAATAAATGATATGTAGGTAATGTCAACGTTGTCAAATCGAGACAGACATGTAATAGTGTTGCAAGGAGGCGAACTTTTATGTCCTTTGATATTTAACAAGTTAGTTCAATTCTTAGAAACGGTAAAAGCTACTTGTAAGTTACATACAAAATATTTTTATAAGAAAAGGTTTCTTCTATTTCTGTACAATTTTCAAAGAAAAGCAATTATTTTTATAAAATTATGTCTGCAAATTTTCCCTATTATTTTTTAACAGCCAACATTTTTTTAAGAAAACCCGCACTATGAATACGTTTTTCGTTAGCGTAACAACAACATAATTAACGATCTTGCACGGAATTTCGGCTGTAGAGACTTGCATTTATTGTAAGCATCGTTACGGCAAGCAATTATTGTTGTTATTATTTAGCGATCGGTAGTTTGCGATGGAGTCGCTATCTATGTCGAGACTGCAGCCGCTGATCCTTTTAGGCATGGTTCTCTATCTGTTCGTAGTTTCATCACGATCACTTCGGCCATTCCGAAACAATTATGATAAAACTTCACGAGCAGCGACTCACACTGTCAATTTAACTGATTATTCCAACTGATCAGTTTAAAATAATGTTGTAATTTTTTAAAATATTGGATTTTCGATATATCGATAAATAAACTTATGTTTAAAACACCGATATTGATATATTTATAATTGTCGATATATCGAATATCCGAAATTTAAAAAATATCGACAATTCTAGCTTGAACTGATAAGTTGAACTGACCGTGTGTGTCGTCCAATAGAAAGTAATGCGTGAATCAATGGTATTTCAAGTTTTTAAATTTAAATAACGCCGGATTAATAGATGCTACCGAGACGAAGCATGGACGAGCCGCAAGTTAACAATTAATTTCCGATAGGTACTTTTAGTACAAATGAAGCCAGTCTGTAAGTTGTAGATCGATTTTATTCTGTAGCCCAGTTGATTAATTTGTAAAATAATAATAATTTCTTCAACTGCTAAAATTGACTTACCAGTAAGATTTAGCGCCATAACGTTTGTCGATAGTTTCTTTGTAGTTTTTACTTCGTTGAGGAACAGCTGACAACGTAGGCAGAGAAATATCGATAAAAGTATATCGATAATCGTTACGATTGGAACTTGAACACAGATGAATATATTCATTTGCTACAAAGATTAAGTGAGGTAACTATAATGTCAATATAGGATTATTACTTAAAGTGGTGAAATTTTCTTCTTATTTTCATCAACCCGTAAAAGTCTATTGCTGGATACACGCCTGTCCTCTTCTGGTGTAGTTACTGTGCCACAGGTCTCGCACTTTTAACGCTGCTGCATTCTATTTCTAAAAAACCTTTTTTAACCGACTTCAAAAAGTAGGAGGTACTCAATTCGACTGTATGTTTTTTAATGTGTTACCGCAGAACTTTTTTCTAAGTGAACCGAATTTTGATGTTTCATTTGAAAGCTGGTCCTCCTCGTATAGTCTCATAAAAATTTGATCAAAATTTCATCAGTAGTTTTTAAGTTATCCATAATAACACGTATTTAATTGACTTCAAATACATTGTTGATGTTCTCATTTTATTTATATTGAAGTCGGTTGTACTATTTTTTTTATTTTACCACTTGTTCTGATTTAGTTGCTTAAAAATTACTTCCCTATTTACGACGTGGCGTCTTTACTTAAACAAACTATGATCTCAAAGAATTATCATTGTGTTTGCATTTACAATTATGGCACTATATTAGTATATCCCGCGCAAATGATTACTTAAGATTATTCAGAAATAATTGTCGATATCGAATAGGCCTAGGCCTGAAAGGCTAAGATCAACAAAAACGAGTTTATTTTCATATTGAAACTTACTTGGTTCTGCAACATTAAGAGACTCATTTCAAATGATATCAATACGTTTGCGACAAATTTGCTGCAAAATAGAAACATCTGCAATAATGTTTTGAAAATGAATATCTTAAAGTAATTTAAAACAAATAATGGGTATTATTGCACTTTAAATTACCTGAAATCTATATAGGTATAGAAATTTAGACAAAGCATCAAATATTTCTTTTAAATAAATATCCGTATCGCATGAAACGAAATTATGTGCTTTGTTCGCTAAATAACACAAGCGCTCTTCAGAAGGATAATTGATAAATCCCATCTTGGGGTATTTAATAGTTTTATGTAAATAATTTCGAATGATTGAGTTTAAAAAACGTAGTCGTACAAAGAATAATAATATGATATTGGCACAGTAAGTGATTTCTATTGTAAACGTGGTCTGACTGTACAGAACTCCGAGCAACCCAATAGAAAATATTATTTCTCGGTACCATGAAGCACCACATATTATTACATACGCCAACATCAAGAACGATATCGAGGCAAAGTTAATTAAAATTATAAAATTATTTATGTTTTTATTATTTTCAATATTTAACATACGATCGATTCTTTGCAACTGGCAAAAGAATTTGGCGTTCTCTTCACCATTAAAGAATCGAACATGTATAATATTGAGTAAATAAGTAACGAAATTTAACGCCAGAGCGCAGTATACTATGCGGTAAAAATTTGCATTTTTCCCAGACAAGTTATTAGATAATATTAAGTGTAAATTTATAAATAAAAAGGCAGTGATTACAATACACGTGATGGTAAACGCTTTCTGATATTTTGTTGGTGCTGTGACAAATCTATCGCGGGCATCAACTCGGCACGATCCCAAGATTTTTTGTAAGTAACGATACGAAGCGGAAATTTTCAAAAACTCTTCTTCTAAAATATCCTTTGAAAGATACTCTGTAGTCATTTTTGTCGTGTTACAGCCAGTGTGTATTATTCGATTACTTAGACCTTAAGAGCGCAGAATGCAGAAGATTTACTCTGAAAAACAAAATGTTACTTTATAGAAACTGATGTAAATCGATAAGACGATTCACCACATCGTGCAGTGGTGGTGTAGAAATATCTACTACCCCATATCGTACCGTGGGTGTCGTAAGAGGTGACAGAGGGAAATCCAAACAGGGGATCGGTAGAAGCATCTTTCTGATAATACCTCAAAATTATTTAAAAAAAAACTACTGTTGCCAACCCGCCTGCGAAGCGTGGCAACTACGAAGAAGAAAGAAAAAACATTTATTTCACAGATACGCAGAAATTAACGAATTAATAATAAGTAACATATCCACCAATATTAAAACAGATAAACGTAGAACAACAAACAGTAAGAACGTCAACCTAACAAAATACATAAAATTAAATGTGTACGATTAATAAATAAAAAGAGACCATCGATGTTAAAAAAAAATCAAATAGACAAGCTGTATTTTAGCAAGGTATCCGAAGGATTGATACGGCGATAGTTCTCATGGAACGATCAGCAATCCAGTTAGGCTCTAGGTCTAGGTAAAGACATATTTGAAAAGAACTTTTTATTATAAAAATATTTATTTTATGATGTCTAATATAGGTAGTTTTATTAGAACAGCATTTGAACCGGCTTTCTGCAATTTGTATCGAGTAACTTTTGAAGAAATAAAAGGAGTTATCGATTTGCATGACAAAAATTGTTTAATAACTAATAATATACTCACCAGAAATTTTAGATAAAATTATATAACTGGCTGATATTTTCAAAATAAAGTGCTTACTCTGCGGTTTTCTAGCGGTTGTATATTATTGCTACGTCGAAGAAAACAATAAGAAATGCGATGATTGTCTGTGTTAGTTTGGTCTGAACATAACATTTTATATCCCCTTTTCATAAATTTCGAATGCGATGATGTATTGAATGAAATTACTTTTGTTAATTTGTCAACTAAACTTGGGTAGTAATTAGTAGAAAGCTCCATTAAGATATTTTTACAATAACAGTTTATTTGATTAGAAGAGCCACGTTAATTAGCATATCATGTTAATTATGCTATTGCGTGTGCATTTAGTACCGAAATTTGAGGGATGTAATTTAAAATTCACGACGTTTTAACATTACTAGTAAACGGTGTAGTGACCGTGTAAAAATATCGTCGTAGCTCCGTATCGTCCCGAGGGTGTCGTAAGAGGTGACAGAGGGAAAATGCGTCAGGTGATGAGCAGCAACATTTTCCTGATAAAAACTGCGGTTGCCAACCCGATTGCCAAGCGTGGCAACGGTGGCGAAGTCCCTGCACTGCAATCTATGAGACAGGCCTATGGTGGATTTTTTTTCCTAGTAATATTGGAACTATTGCAGCCATGTAAGGTGCACTGACCACCTGGAATACGACTGGGGTTGCACAGTTACTTGGCGGTAAATAGGTAAAAGGGTGAGATTGTAGGCAAAGAATCACCTACTGTTAGAATTCATTTGACAAGAAAGAAGTAATGAGAAGAATAAATAAAATATGTTTAAAGAGAAGATTGAAGTCCGCTAAATTGCACTAATTCAGAGTACGTAGCAGTAAACAGAATTGATAGATTTAATGAGATGATAGAAAAATCATTGAAATTTTTCTATATCAGCAACGGAGAGCAACTTATAATGGGTGCGTTTGGCAGAAAAAAGCGCTAGCAAGCGCTTATAAGCAAAATGGCGATCGTAAGCGGTAAACGCTGTCAAATCGTAAGTAGCTATTTTCCTCCAGGACACGATGTTAGTTTTAACCGAGGAACCTAACCTAATTTAAATATATGTTTGTAAAGTATTCATATTAAAAACTTACCAATCATGAATTTTTAATAACATGTATATGTTTATTCACGTTATTATATTACTTAAAACTAATATTGCACAAAACAACTTATAAACTCTATTTCAAAACAAACAAATTAAATAAGCAAAATGGCGGATTGTGTCAGCGCTACTGAAGTAGTAATCGTGTCCTGGCCGAAAACTATTTCAGCGCTTGTAAGCGCTTGCTAGCGCTTTTTTCTGCCAAACGCACCCATTGTTTGCCGTGTAGTATCGTGATCGAGAATTTGTCATTTCCCTTGTGGTAATTTCGCAAAGTCTACCCAAATAAAAATAGTCTATTGCTAATGTTCACTTTTTGTTCACGTTTAATGTTCACATTTAAGTGGTTATTGTTAAAAATAGCAGTGTGAGAACGGATGTGTAGCCTGCTTTCTTGCTTATGCAATTAAGTAAGTAGCGCAGTTGTGCACATACGCACATAATTACGTCATCATGAAGTGAAAATAAAACCTGCGACAGTTCACTGCCGGACATAGGAATCTCTCAAGGCGCGCAGGAGTGCGTCTTAGTTCCAACATTGGCTTCACGCATTCAGATGCTGCCCAGCCGCCTTGTGTAAGACGGAATCCCCGTTCCACGAGCGCATCGTCTGCGCCGAACTTTATACTCGGAAAAAGAGTGGGCTTTCCAGTTCTATCCTCACTTCTATTTCTTTATATTTTTTATTGCCATACGATGTAACACTGGTTTGCCTCATCATATAATATTCTCATCTGCTTTTCTGAGCTAAATAATCACAATGAACGGACAAAGTCACGACAAATAAGATTACCGATTGATAGAATCTAGGACGAAATCCCCGTTCCTCGAGCACATCGTCTGCGCCGAAATTTATACTGCAAAAATGAGGGGGGATTTCGAGTTCTACCTTTAATTATTTCATTCCATCTCTTTATCTTCTACATATATACATATGACTGCCTCGTTGGTCTAGTGGTTGTAGTATAGCGACTGCTGATCATGAGGTCCTGGGTTCGAATCCCGGGTCGTGCCAAAAAATTAATTGTTGAGTTTTTCCAGCAAGAAATTCTCTGTAGTTGCTCGGAGTCAGGAAGTTGGTAGTGTCTCACCCCCGTGCCTCGTAAAGCACGTAAAGCTGTTGGTCCTGCGCCTGATCTTTCTCCGGTCGTGTCGGTTTACCGTCCCACCAGATTATGAGAGTGAGGGAATAGAGAGTGCACCTGTGCTAGCGCATACACTTGGGCACTATAATCCTGTCCTGCGCCGATGGCTAGCCTCCGTTGAGGCAAGCCGCCGTGACCCAAATTCGGTCTGGAGGACATTAATATTATTATATACATATGTATTAATGTTAGTTATAAAATAAAATGATAGTTGATCAATAACAAAAAATGTATTAAATTGAAAAAATATTTATTTTTAAATTTTTATCTATTAGATAAACAATAATAACCCGTCTACAATATCATCAAACTAAATGGGAAACTAGTCTTTACATTATTTAGTACGCAAACCGTTGAGTTTCCTTGAAACCCAGTTTTTCTAAGGCAGGATTACACGCGAAATTAATCATAGGCGGTGGTCCACACATGAGAACAAACACATCATCACCAGCAGGAAACATGTGCTCTTTAATCATTTCGTCATTGATGAAACCTGCGCTGTACTTCCATCCTGAAAAATAAAAGATAATAAATATAGAAGAAAGGTATTGTTTTTAAATTGAAAAACATGTAATACAATGTGAAGCAAAATTATCAACTAGTTAAACTACAGAAGGCAAGTTTGTCTTTTCTGTAATGGTAGCCTTTGTTACTGGGTTTAAAGCTTTCCATATCAGTCCTAAAGCATGATAACGCATGTAAATCTTTGAGTATAGGCTGCAGCATCAACAGTACGCTTGTAGGTCACGCTTCCTTAAACAAATAAGTGGTAAGCGAGGTATAAGGTCTCCTCCTTTCCATATGGAGTGACGATTTGACTTGGTAATATTTGTAGATAGTGAATGGATCCAGGTGAATCAGGACCATGTTTTGTAGCATTTCTTAGATGATGCACTATATGCTTAGCACTGGCTTTGTGATCGGGTGAAATGATGATGATGATGATATTCAAGATATTTTATTAATCATAAAAGAGACAAGATGAATATTATAGAGTTTCTTAAGTCGACACAAAAAGTTACAGAAACATCATACAGTACATATTAAATTATTACAGTTCTTGCAATATACGAAGTCCACCGGGTTTACTTGTGGTAGAATGTGCAAGTGAACATGCATATTGCGATGGTGTGCGTGTCTGACGGGGCGATCAGTTGCGCGCATGCTGTTGCTAACCATACCTGTTTTTGAGCTCACGCACACTTTGACACGTGTACACGTACGTCTGTACACGTATAACTATACGTGTTTACCACAAGCAAAGCCCGTTCGATTTCGTGAATTGCAAAAACTATACACAGTACATGGATTTAATATGAGCTTTGGGACGCCATGGAAATTACATTGACCGACCCATTTGCCCAAGAGGCGCGATAGCGCAGACGTCCGCTGTAAATTTCACAGTACCAACCCACGCCGACACCAGTGAAATTGTTTATTGCAATTACAACTGCTGATTTACCAAGTTCTCGACGGTGAAGGAAAACATCGTGTGGAAACCGGTATGTCGGAGCAATAAGAAAAAAAAATATTTTGAACATATGTGAAGTTCGCCAACACGTATGTACCCAGCAGCATTGGGACGTATATAAGCCGTAACTTTTGCGCAGCATAATTGGTAGGTATTGGTAATTTTTTTAAGGTTTCATAATAAATTGTTGTAACATGAAAATATGGAACTTTTCTCCAGCAGTGGATTTAGAGTCTGGAAGAGAAAATTAAAAAAGGGTTGATGGTATAGTAATAAAGCAACAAACCTTCTGTTGGTCTATCCAAAGTGTACCACAGTTTGAATTGATTAGGGTGTTCACTCTGATACTTTTCGAGTTCATCTCTCAGCAAAATATCTTCTTCGGTCTGATTAGCGAAAAGCAACCTCATTTCTGTACGGTCACTGGCGTCCTTACATATATGCCTAACAAGCTGTAACATTGGCGTGATACCAGTGCCACCTGTTGACAAAATTAACAAATTGAGTAAATAATGTCACAATATGCCTAGTGTCTACACATTTGAAACAGGCGTTGTTAGAGTCGTGATCTTACTTTGATAATGTATTTTTTTTTATAGAAGAGGGGATAATCGAGCATACGGTTCACCTGATGTTAAGTGACTACCGCCGCCCATGATCAGCTGCAACACCAGGGGAATTGCAGGTGCGTTGCCGGCCTTTTAGAAAGAAGTAAGCTCTTTCCTTGAACGTCCCTAGGTCCTATCGGTCCGGAAAAATCGCCGGTGATAAACTATTCCACAGAGAGGTCGTACGCTGAAGAAAACTCCTAGTGAAACGTACAGTGGTGGACTGTCAAGCATCCAAATGGTGTGGATTATCGGCATAAAAAATATTATTTGTGTACGAAGCCGTAGTTGAGACGCCAACTTAATCTAAACAATTGTTTAAAACGAACGTTTTTTACCCTGTGATCGATAAAATTAAAAGTGTATTGGTTACTTGACTTCAAAATTCTATGATACGTGTTAATTTTTATACAAAATTAAAATAATTCCTGAAAGGTCAAAACGCCTGTGTTGATTTGCAAATCAGTTGAACTGATGGGCATAATGTGATTTGTCTAGTTGTAAATTGGTTCAGGAACTTGTGAGCTTGAACCCATTATTTAAAGGTCTTCAATCAGTAGGGCCACATAAAGTTCTCAGACTTATTAAAAATAATGATTAGCAGGACATTTAAAATGTGTAGACAGCACTTCGTATCTTGCTAACTATACCTGTACTATAACTTTACCTATGTTTCTACTGTGTCAGGAAAGACTGTCATATCTCGGCATCTTTTCCATAGAAAATTATAGAATTTTCGACAATAGTGTCCAGATGTTAAATTATTCCGAATTAATAAAAAATTGCAAGCTCATAAGCCAGAAAGTTGACCATCTAGGCTTTTCATTACATTTGTTGTTGGTAGTTCTTTTATCTTTTTTAACACTGTCTACAGAACAACAGTTTAAATAAAAGTTGTCAAACAAGATTATTAACTTTTATTATGAGAAATAATCTGTACAACTAGTCACCGCAGCATGGCAAGCATAGTGGCGTTGTCGAGCGCAACAGAGTAGTGCGAGCGGAATGGACAACATTTCTTTAATGCGTATATGCAGAACGACTGCTATGGCAAGAGCGACAGATAACTGTGCTTGCCCTGCATATATACCTGTAGATATTTTGTTGGTCTAATACTATTTAAAATCACGAAAAAGCAACTGCATAGCATAGAAACACTAAGGTTTTGTATTTAGAGGGGCGCCACCATGAGATCTGGCACCACCTAAAAATTTTGCTAGGGCCGCCACTGTATAGAATACACTTCTCATCGCAGGCACGCACAATTGAACCCAAAATTTTCGATTCTATGCCGATTAAGTATTACTGAATCCGTAATATGATACAAGCTTGAACGCAAGTTTATCGCTAAGCGGCACTCACTTCCTGAGGAAATTTTTGCCCATTTGTCCAATTTTTTTTCACCGATTTACCGCATAAGATTTAATACTGTATTGATATTTATGTTAAAAGGCGGCGATAGATCAGCCATGGTTTGCAACGGATCAGCTTCCACTACCGTTAATTTGTGAGACTCATTGTTTCCACGTTAGAAGTCGTAATTAAAATAACACGAATTTTGTTCAGGGCCATGAATACAATGATATTGCAGCAAAAAAAGCAGCTCAAAAAACAAATGAATAGGTGATTATGAAAAACTACAATTTGCGTTGGCGAAAAACGCACAAAAGGACGTACGTACGTAAACTTTCCCCACCGGTGTTTAGGGAAAAAAAAAAAAAAAAAAGGAGACCATTGTTCTCTTAAACAATTGTCTCGAATTTGTAATTTCAAGTCAAACGACAGTTCAATGTGGTCTGTTCAATTAATCAGAAATTTCATAGGTAAAATTTTAATCTATTTAAATATTATAAGCTAAAATGGTAGCTTAAAGCATGACCCATTTAAAAGTGTTGGGTCATTCTTTGCATTACAATCAATAAATCATATTATTGAATAAAACTATTATTTACGGATTTTATCGCGTTTAATTCAACTTTAATTTATTTTTATTATCCCGACGTTTCGGGTGCTTTACAGCACCTGTGGTGGGAAGGACCACGCTCTCACAGAATAACAGCGTCAAATAGCAGCTTAATGCAGCTATGTTTTGTATGGTGAGTGTAGAGAATTGGAGACCCTTTTTACTGGAAAAGAGGCATTCCATCTTAGTCCTCAAGGCTGACAACGCATCTTAAGAGCGGCCAACCCGTCTTACTTTTCATACAAACGCTCGTACGTGATTGTGGCGTTGTAATAGATCTTTCTTTGAAATTTTTGAACTAATAGGTATCGTGTGCACTATAGCTAGGTTATTATAAAAACAAATAATCAAAATTTGGAGAAACAAATTCAGTATAAGCCTCCAAAAATCTGCTTTTTTGCACAAAATTACAATTAATTAATTAAAAATTCCAGAAAGTTGTAAGCCACACTTCAAAAACTTTAAAATTTTGACTTTGACGTCTATAGTATATTTGGGAAACATGCAAATTTGTAAAAAACCACCCAGAACTATTTATCAAATTAAGTGAAACAAATTACAAATACTCAATTAGACCAAATAAGAATAGGCTACTATTTATTTATTTAGGTAATCATACAGCGTTTTTATCGTATTTACAATACATATTATCATATAGTAAGGCCAATAGAGATTACACAATTTTTATCAACTAATAATTAAGCGTGCGTGCGCGTGCGTGCGTGCGTGCGTGCGTGCGTGTGCGTGTGCGTGCGTGCGTGTGTGTGTGTGTGTGTGATTATGCCCTATTTTTGTTTATAAAATCACGTTTGATGCGACTCTTGGATAGGTTGAACATATCCAAGTCAGCGTAAAACTTATTATAGTTTTGAACAATACGACATAAAGTAGAATTTTTTGCGTAATTTGTGTTTGCTCGTGGTACGTGAAATAATGGCGTATGTCTAGTTCGGTATTTAGGTACTAGTATCGATATTTTAAGAAAAAATAAAAACATTTAAAATAACAGGTTTGGACATACTATGTTACCAGACCATAAACCGTGTAGCAAAAACATATCGTGTTGAAGTCTTCTGAGTTCCAAGGTATCTAAGCGGTAAAATTTGCAAGCATCTTCGTATGAAGCAAAACTATTATGATCTTTTGATGAGATAAACTTAATGAGCAGTTTTTGAATTGATTCTATTCGATGCTTATGCTTCGCATACTTTGGAGACCAGATTGTATTAGCGTATTCGAGAACACTCCTTACGTATGCAAAGTATAGAGCTTTAGCAATTAATACTGCTAAAATCGTTGCAGACGCGCTTTATGAATCCAATTTGCTTGTAGGTTTTGTCAACAATACTGCTCATTGGACGTTAATTTTGAGTCCAACCTGATACCAAGATCTCTAACTGATGATACACTCTTTATGGATTTATTGTTAATTGAATAATTGTAATCTATGAGCTGTTTCTTGCGACTGAAGGTTATTTTGACACTTTTTTCACAATTGATAGTAATTCTATTTTTGCTGTAATAAGTTTCTAGGTTTTTTAAATCGTTTTGAATCAGAACACAGTCATCAATTGTTTTTATTTTTAGATAAATTTTTTTGTCATCTGCGAACATTAAATAGTTTGAATGATAGAAGCAGTCACCGATGTCAAATAAATAGGCGTTGTAGAACAAAGGTCCGAGTATTGAGCCTTGTGGGACACCAGATGTTACCATAATAAAATCACTATGAGCACTACCCAGTAACACTGCTTGCCTTCTGTTACTTATGTATGAAGTTACCCATCTGTGCAAATCACCATGAATACCCAAACTGTAAAGTTTACGTAATAGGATGGCATGATCAATACGGTTAAATGCTTTTTCAAAGTCCGTGTATATTACATCAACCTGCTGCCTGTCATCCATGCTCATATATATATAATTGGTTAAAGTAGCTAAATTTGTTACAGTTGAACTTTTATTTATAAAACCATGTTGTTCAGTTGGTATTGATTTTAAGATTATGGGACTGATGTGTATAAAGATAAGTTTTTCAAAAATCTTTCCAAATGTGTTTAATATGGAGATTCGGCGGTAGTGCTCAATTCTGCTTTTTGGTCCACTCTTATGTATAGGTATTATTAGAGCTTCTTTCCACTTACTAGGAAATGTTCCATAGGTGTTAACAGACATATTAAAGATTATTGAGAGGCTTGGCCAAGTGTTCTGCACATTTGTGTATAAATAGGGGAGGTATGCCATCGCTACCAGGCCCTGTATTAGTTTTAATTGTATGTAGAATACGAGAAACATTTTTAGTACTAAAGTATATATTATGTAATATATCATTTGATTCCTACGTTTGGAATATGGGAATAATCGTAAGAAGAAGAAGGTTTTTGAAAAACACTTTCAAAAGAATTTATTAAATCCCGCACACACGTTCGTTTCGTTTGTGTATGATTCATTTCCTAATTTTAATGTAGTAGGGTATGTAGAGTTGCTATTACGTATAGATTTTAAATAAGACCATAATATTTTAGGATCTTTTTTTAGAAGGCTTTGCATTTTATCTAAGTAACGCTCGTGGCACTGTTTCTGTAATTTCTTTTGTCTAGTACGTAGTATGCAAAATTCGTAATAATCATTGCCGAAATCTACTCTTGCATTGCATAGCACTAGTCCCTACTGTATGACAGTTAAATTTTTAATAACCTTCCAAATGACATAAAAAATTTAACGAATACTACACTATTTTTATCCAAATTAAAGTTATATTTCATTGAAAAATGTTTCTATAATTTAAATGAATATTTTGATACAAATATAATATTTGTATTCATTTATGTGGACAACTTCGGCCTGTGCCTATCTAATTTAATTTTGTTATTCAATTGTTATTTTTTACTTAATTTTATTTTTACTTATAATAATAATAATTACTTTTTACTTGACATTGTGATTATGAATTAAATTAAATTTACAGAATTTTAAAATAATATAATCTAATAATGTAATGTATTAATGAAATCTAATATTGTAGTTTAAAAATAATAATTTAATATTTTTATAATTGCTACGCCCAAACTGGGTCCAAATGCGGACTTTTTTTTAAACATAACATTTCTATTGTAACCATTTGATTGCAATAAAGACTATGACTATGACTATGACTACTAGCCCTAAGCAGAATAAATCATTTACCTTTACTTTTTGTGCTGTATTTAGGTATATGATGGACGAACAAAAAAAGTCGAACGGAACTCCCTGCTAAAACAAAACTGAGTCTGGTCTATGTGTGAGTATTGACGTTTGCGCCTGTAATGTCTGACTAATGTGTGAATGTGTCCGGGCTTGTACGCACGACGACCATTTTAAAAAACCAGTTTATACGGATCTCTCATTGTACGGGAAATTGATACAAATCGAGACCATTGTTACTGGAAATGTCTAGCTTTATGTGTTTACAGTTTTTTACTAGCGAAAATCTGTCTGACTTTCTTTGTTCGTCCATGAGGTACTTGTGTATATGAAATAAGAAAAAGCTAATGTACGTTATAAATAATTTCCACATCGTCAACAATAACGCACGCACGGTACATAGATTGGTAAAAATACAACACAAATAAATCTCCGAGGCCAAGCGTTACGTCAGTACTAGACAAAGCATGTAATATAATAAAATAATACGGTACTAAATGTAGGTATACACCTGTCCTGTATGCAGAGAAATTTACAAAACTATGGCTATGCGCACGCGAGGACATAGTCGCGAAACGCGCGCGTGCGATTCAATATTATTGTCATGAATGGCCAAAGAGTATAATAAGTATATACAGGAAAAGAGAGCCCTCTGACGACACTTTATTGCGGACAAAATTGAACTGCTAGCGCCTCCTACAAATTGAATCCGAACTAATTCGCTATATATAGCTCTACATATACCTCTTCTATAATAGTGAAATGTGTAATATTGTTCTTTAATTCGTATACATACTGAAACAGTTTTACTGCCTACTTTTTGTAATACTGTTTTTGATTTTATTAACAGTGGGTAAAACAGTTTCAGTAAGTACACTGGTATTTATGGGGTATTTGCAATGAAACAAGAAAGATAACGATGAGCACACGCAAAAAAGTAGCCACCATTTTGACTTTCATTTTCGTTTGAATATTTGACGTTTTGAAGTTTAGGGTGGCCAGTATCATAATTATCATAATTGATTGATTTCATGATGTTTAAGTTTTTATTTTATGTGAAAATAATATTTGTTATAAACAAAATCACCAATAAATTTATCGTGCATTTAATTTTATTTTTAAGTTAATTCTAGTTTCTTTTTAAAAAGTAGCGACATCTGTGAAGACATTAGACCAATAATAAACATAATGTTTTTGGAAACAAATTATGGATGGCGCTACCTTCAATTGAATTCTTGTGGTCCAAGGCAACTGTCCTACCCCTGTGAATGGCTCACTAGTGGTCTACCGCCCGCGAGCCGAGAGTGAGCGGCAAAAGTTACCGAATTCTAACCGAGCGCTCAGGCGCTATCTCTCTCTCTTTTCGCTTTGCCTCTTCTTCTAACATTGCGCTGGATGAAACAACAAGCTTTTCAACCATACTCGCGTTGACGATACTAGGGCCGGGAAGGGCCCTCTTAATTTTGATTTGCAAGCGAGGATAGATGTAGATGTCTATGGGCCACAGCAACCACTTACCATCAGGTGGCCTGTGTGCTCGCTTGTCACCCTTTTCATATAAAAAGACAATATAAAAAATCCATAATATCATCCCGTGCGTGTCCTAAGAGGCGAAAGCGAAAGTGAAATAAGGGGCAACATTGGCAGTAGTATTTCCCTGTTAAGATATCAAAATAATATGAAAATCTTCAGTTTCCAAGATACCTGCTAAGAGTGGCTCCTATGGCAAATTTGCCCTCTATGAGGCAATCTATAGGAAAGGCGTTTGTTCAACAGTGTACTCTGCACCGGCCTCTAATGAACTGAGTGCTTCCCAGTTACAAAAGTTGTTTTATATTACTAAGCCTTGAGTAAGTACCGTGATTATAAGTATTGATTTAAAAACTGAGTTACACAATCAATGATAAGTCTAGCTCTGATATTAGTTCATATTTACCAGCAATCATGTTTAGTTTCTTGACAACAACTTTAACGGGAGGATCTTTCCTCATTTTTTTGATTAAGAATGTTCCATTGCCAGTGTACTGTAGACGTCCAGATGGCCCCCGAAAATCAATAGTGTCTCCTATTTTCATGTTATTTAAGTACTGAGACATTTTTCCACCTTCTGGGAATTTTGGATGTACATTTTTGAAATACACCTAAAATTAGATGAAAAGTTCGAAAATTTTATTTACAATAGTGATAACATATGGTATGTAATTCACTCCAAGAAACAATATATTAATTCCAATGGATAGCTCCTGACACATGTTTATAGTTGGTACTAATTTTTATAAGTAATAATTAGGAATATTTTAGAGCGTTTTAGAGCCTTCTTTTTTAAATGTTATATTTAACTACTTGACTTGCAATAATTTCTTAATTAACACAGATAGCAGTAACCTATTAAATAAATATTTTTTAAGGTGGTTTTTAAGTCAAGCGTTGTATTAATTTGCAACTGACAGATTTAGTGGTAGAGTACCTGACACCTAAATCTTACTTCTGCAGCCAGAATATCTATGGTTAAAAAAAATCTATACTTTTAACGTAGGATCTTATAGCCAATTCAAAATCTAATTTTCAATGGTTACATTGAATATTTATTAAGGAGTAAGTAAATCTTGCATGTCATATATATGACATTATAACATGTCCAGCATAGTCAACATTTTATACATAAACACTCACGCCTGTCACCCAGAGGGGTAGGCAGAGACTACGAACTACCATTTGGCACGATCCTGACACACCTCTTTCGCCTCCTCCACATCCATAAACCTACGCATGCATTCTCGTCGGTTAAGGGTAAGCTTAATTTGGCCCATTTTCAATATATCGCCAATTTGGTCGATAAACTTTCACCTAGGGCATCCCTTCCCGACTCTGCCGTTCACTTCGGCAACATAAATTAGCTTTGTCACTCTTTCCTCATTCATTCTTTCTACTTGACTAAACCACCCAAGCATTTCTTTCTCAATCCTGGTCACAACATCATCTTGTAAATCACACACTTCACTTATTATAACACAACTTCTCACCCTGTCATTCAGATACTGCTTCATTCGACAACTTCTAAAAAGATTTTAAGATTATTGTTACAATTAACCAGGGAAATGCTGTCATCATCATTAATTGCAATGGTGATATTCTGAGTAGACCTGATATATTTTTTTTATAGAATAAGGATGAAAAACGAGCACACAGTCCACCGGATGCTAAGTGGATGCTACGGCCCATAGACATCTACATCTATACTCAATTAGGAATCAAAATGCGGATGCGTTGTCACCCCTGAGGACTAAGATGGATTGCCTTATTTCCAGTAAAAAGGGGTTAACCAGAGGTTCTCTCAACTCACCACGTGAAACATAGCAGTATTAAACTGCTAGTTACAATGGTATTCTATGAGAGTGTGGGTATGAGCCGACCCGTTCATGCTAAAACCATTGTTATTTCCACATATGATAATAATTAAATAAAAGTAGTGGTATACATTAAAAAACCGTTATATGCATTAGTTTAGGGGTAACATAATTCAGTTTTTGTCTGTTTTTAGCCGATTTGTGCTTTTCTTATTAGATATAAGTATTCAAAAAATCATTTACAAAACAAGAGGTACAAACCTTAATAACTAAATCAACATATCCTTTATCCTCATCACTGGACACTGGAGTGTAAGCTCTTATGATGAGGTCATCATCTATTTTAACTGACAGATGGATATGCTGCCCTACAGGTAATCCTGAAATACACATACACATAATGTATTACATGGCAATTAAAAATCCTATTGAAACATTTATTACTTAGTGCATTTGTACACTACATCAAAGTAAAGTTACTGTCTATATGGGCACAGGCCTCTTCTTATATCTGAGAGTGTTACAGGACAAAGCAGTGTCCACCGTGCTGCTATGGTCACCTATATGGGGAATATATGTACTGTAAAATAGTATTTATAATACTCATACCAATATCTACACCTTTACCTTTTTGAATGGTACTATTTGTAAATTGAACAAATAAGTAGTTTTGAAGAAAATGAAAATGGAAATCTATAACTTTAAGTTATATATTTCTTTTCATCAGCTGCTTTTTTATGCCCAGTTGCAAGACCTTTTTGCCATAGAGACAAGAAAATTGTTTTCTTTTATTTCTTGTACGAAAATTCTATTGAGAGACCTGTACAAATTCAGCTGTATTGCTCCATTCCACTCTAAGGTGCGACTGTGGGCCAAAACCACGGAAATTTATACAAATAATATAAAATTAGACACAGTGGGTGCACCTGTGCACTGGTGGATGAAGCCAGTTGGTACATGGGCTCTTACCCATAAAGTTAACCTTAAACATGTTTTTGTATAGCCAGAGACGCAAGATTATTACTATTTACTTCATTAAATTTGATTGTCCGTTACATTCTGGGTTTAGGTCCGGGGATGTAATTTGTTGAGACTTTTTTCAAATTAAATTATCTTAGGTTTTGAAATTTGAGGCTTTCAAGACTTCTCAATCACTAATATCATTGGGAGAGCATCATTCAGGTTTTTTTTTTTACAGTTAAATGTTTCCACTTATAATTTCTGCATAAGCGTCTTACATAGAGAAAGATTGTTGTAATTCTATAATTACTTTACGGTTTACCATAATCTAAATAGTAAAGTAATGTATAGGAAATAAAATCAAAATCCTTAGGAGACTTGGACATAAGAAGAAATCCAGTATAATATTTGGTACAGTAGACCATAATATTCAATTTCTGAATAGGAGTTATTATTGAAATTGATTCTGTATTAATCTAAGCCATAAAATGAAAATTTTACAATGTTGAAATTACCACAGTGCACAAGTGCCCTTAGTTACTTATGATTAGTTTTTATTATGTAACATTTCTAATAACTTGGCTTAAAAATGAAGGTTTTATACATACAATAAAAAAATTAAGCGGTTAGTTCATTTAGACCGATTTAAAAATCATCAGATAAAAGTTATTTATCAAATAAATTATAAGCTGACTGAATATAAAAGTGAAACAGTTTTAATATAAAAAATGTTTGTTGTATTTTAATGCTTTTACTGTGCGGTGACCTACATATAGTTCAATGCTATTGTCTTACTGATAGTGGTAAAGTAAAAAATGACTCAATAAGAATTACATGTAATCTATATTGAATAATAAATTATTCTATTCTATTGTATCTAGAAACCAGACAGTCTACTTTTTTCTGTAGATTGAAAAATTGGCACTTAATATAAATAATTTAAAAGATATATAAAAATAGATTATACTAAGTGCTTTTATTATGGTTTATAAATTGTACTTAAACAAAAAATAATGTAATAGACATGACAAATGTTAATTCAGTTACTGTCTTTCTTACTTTTACTATATCATTTTACATGTTTTTTGACATAATACTGTATTATGGTCACTGTGTAGTCATTATAAGATAATCCATTACTTAATACAATACTGTGACAGAGTGAAATGAAAGAAGAGATTGGCAGCAGCATCTTCTTGATAACTATTCATAAATAATAATAACACCATGGTTGCCAACCCACCGGCAAAGCACGACAAATGCGGAAAATATCCCTTCTATGAAACAAACTACGAGGCAGACCTATGTTAAGCAATCGACTTTTGATAGGCTGTAGTGATTGGATGAATTATGATTAAGTAAAGTTACCTACGCTTTGAGAGCTGTGGAAGCTCAGATGGTTAACGCTTGCTGCAAATTTTACAGTATGCGAGCTACCCGGGTTCGATCCCCGCATGCACCAATGAAATTGTTAATTGCAATTTTAAGTGCTGATGCTACCACATGCTCGAGGGTGAAGGAAAACACTGTGAGGAAACCTGCATGTCTTGCTTCTTGCCCTATAACCCTCTCAGAGATGAGAGGAGACCTGGGCCCAGCAATGGGACATATATAGGCTGTAACTTTAACTTTTAAACTTACCTAAAACATGCTCAGATGAAGGTAATCCAAATCTAAACCTTCTAGTATCATGACTGATTTCTTCTCTTTCTATGAGTGGCAGTGGATATTTGCTATTCGGATCCACAAGTGCAACTAACTTTTTGGAAGTCTTTGATTTTTTCCCCCAAAGACATTTCGCGATTACTGTTGTTAGCACTACTACAGATCCAACACCTAGTAAAATGGGGATTACCTGAAATACATATAAGAAATTTTTTACATGCATTTTTTGATAAAATTTACAATGATAAGTTTCAGACTTAACCGTGATGTGTAATTTGGCATAAAGAAACTTGCACCAATTCATTTAGCTATTATAAAATTTCCAAGAAAGAACTATTTTCATTTGAAAACTATCTGAGATTGTCATTTATGAACGGACGTGTACGCAGATAGTAATTAAAAAAAGTAGGTACATACTGGATTCTCTAGAAAGTCAATTACAGCCACTTTTAAATTGCTCATGATGATATAAAACTTTGGCAACACAACAATACGTTTACGACGTCCAACTGATACTGTTTACTGAATTGAATGAACTAACACCACTTCACTCACATCACACTCATGAACTCATAGTTTTATCACATACGACATGTATTCTGTGCATACGACTAGCAACTTTTTTTCTTTAAGGGCCTGAATGATGTTTATTGCATCATATTTCGCCTTGAACTTGGTTATCTCAAATCAAGCAATTAATTATCAACTTATTAAAGTAATTATGTACCCCTACTAACTTAATTTTATTTACTATCAGCTGCAACTTTATTACACATTCGCTTCAAATATACTTCCTACTTAGTTATTTAATTGTTGGGGAAATTAGTAATATATATTATAATAAATTCTATTTTGTTCAATAGGTAATAAAATTCCAAACAAAATGTCAAAACGCAAACACTGCACTACTCTACTTTGTAAAAAATTAAACTCAGAGTAAGTATAACTTAACTCAGACTCAGAGTAAGTACTCTTTGGTACTCTTAAGATAGTTATATTACTTCTTATAAAGGATTATTATACTTTTACTCTATTTATTCTCTCAGTAAATTAAGTAACGTCGTAACCTCTATCCATAGATGACAGATAAGGTAAGGTCGCAAGCATTAGCTAACAAGGAGAATTTAATCACCACGTTTTAGCAACAAGTTAAAGTTAGTAGTAAAAGATTTTAAGTGTTGTTCAGGAAGAATAGTTTTTAATTTTAAACCTTATTAGCTACGTTATCACTTACCACTGTCATTATAGTTAACCGAACACCGTTTACGATTAACTTAGCAACTATAAGAATCTGACTTACCTCTTTTGCCATTATCAGTAAATGATAAAGAAAAAAATATTGATTGGTTCATAAAGTAATATGCACCTATTGCGTACGTAAGTACATTATAGTTCAATGGGTTGGTGTGGCATTTTCTTATTTATGAATTAAAGGTGATCAAAGAGAAAATGTACTCACGATTTTGGAATTTAAGTTAGAAGACATTTTAACTGAATATAAATTGATAATTTCTCTATTTAAATAGGTATTAGGTTACGTAAAACCATAACGTATAGTTAAATAACTAAACAAAGTGATGTTTTATCCGCCGCAACAAATACGTTGTCCGGCCCTAACCAAATTCGATCCGTCTAGCTGTAGCTGTAGCTGCGCAGACAAAACTAAAGACTTCTGTTCTGTATCTGTATTGCACAATGAGGGGAATGTACGATGTTCCGGCGGAATTTATTTTAGTTTTCATGATCTCGTCGTCTTTGCTCATAGGTACGAGTAGATAATAATACATACGATTGTGCTAGTTTGGTTGTGTACTTTTTTTGTAAATAACGATGTAGGTACCTACCTATTGTAGCTACTATAAATTTATTATCATTTAGTATTTATTACCTAAGTAGGTATAAATTATCATTTTTAAACATAGACAGTAGGTAGATAAGTAGTTTAAGCAATAAAATTATAAAAGAAAATTTTTACGTGGTAGAGCCATGCTGCCATTATTTATATAACACTAGATCAGTAATAACCGCGCCAAAGCGTTGCCACTGCACATATGGCCACAGCCATATGTCTAGCTAACGTGAGTTCATTGTTCAATGTGACGCCGACAGAGTTGAGCCGCGACAAAAATGGGTAAATGCGTAGTGAAAGAATGCTATTCAAGGTCACAAAAACGTAATAAAACAAGCGGAATCACTTTCAACACATAATTTTTAGTTCTTGTTTTCATATAAACGTAAAAAACCTCAAATAATTAAATAAAATTATCGAATATTGCCATTTAGGTTCAATGTTGCCACTTTTCCGCATTTGTGATTATACTACATTAATGGGAGACACTATAATTAATGGATTAAGTTAATTTGTTACCTCTGATTTTAAATATTTTGGAAATTATAATAAAAACTACGTTTTAACTTTCATACAAAATAATTAATTATTCTTATTTTAGTTTATTCATGAATTATCTATTAAATATATTTTATTACCTATTTTATATTGTTTGATTTATTAGTACCATAAAAATACGTTTTATTTCATCATTATGTTTACTTATATTCATCTGATAAGCTTTGTATCCTTTTTTTCTAAGGGGACGTAATAAAGATTTTAAAATGAAATATACTTTTTTAATATAAAAACATTTAACTGCAGCTTAAAAAAAAACTCATTTTTATTGCGTATTTTAGGTAAAATTTCATATAGTAAGCCACACCAACCCGCCATTGCATGTTTGTGTGTCTATCTTTATCTAATCTTAGCGACGATATTGTTTTCGTAACTTGTGTAAGTGAGATAGATATATGTTTACTTAAAATTGTTATTAGTTTCAAAGCTACGTCGTCGCGTTTGGATAGTGGTTACACTTTTTTCGATTCGCGGTAATGTGATTTGCTCCTCTAGTGTTGTATAACTCAATGCATGCTGCAGTTATATTAGTAGTATACTTGTAGCACGAATGGGTCGGCTCGACCGGAGAGGAACCACGCTCTCAGCTTTCACAGAATACCAGCGTCAAATAGTAGCTTAATGCTGCTGTATTTCGTATGGTGAGTGTAGAGAACCGGAGACCCTCTTTACTGGAAACGAGGCATTCCACCTAAGTCCTCACGGGTGTTTTGATTCGTAATCGAGGATAAATGTAGATGTCTATGGGTCACAGCAACCACTTACCATCAGGCGGACTGTGCGCTCGTTTGTCACCCTATCCTATAAAAAAAAATAGAAATACTTAGGTCTGTGTGAACAATGTGACACCCCAAAAGTATACGTAATATCTACCTAACCAATTTAATAAAAGAAAAATCATTAAAATCGGTTTATAAACAAAGAAGTTATGCTCGAACATCAAAAAAAATATATTTATACTAGCGATCAGTCCTGGCTTCGCACTGGTGATTTATAGGTCTCGAAAACAGCGCCACCTACCGGGTACAAATGTGAATCTAAATCATCTAGGTCTAGGGACCCATTCAAAGACATACAAAGATGTTTAACCATGTCCCGGCCCGGTTGTGACACGGTGCACCGTGAACTTTGAGTGATAAACCAAAATTTTAATACTCAAAGACCGTGAACTAACCTTTAAGAGGATACCTTGAAAATGAATCGAAGTTGGGGTCGTGGCTTATTCCTTTGTTGGTGAAGCAAACGGACGACTGCGGGAGTGTCAAAATGAAAGTGATGCAATGACTTCATAGTACGCAAATTATGAGATAGACATACCGAGCAAGCGCTCGGAAAAAACTAAGCAAGCGCCAAACAACATTTTTATTTATTTCAACAAAACTTCGTTGTGGATTAAAAAACTGGTTTATGAGAACTTAGATATGATTATTTACTATGCCTTAAAAATAATTCCACGAAATTATTAGTAAGAATATTGTGGTGTCATCGAGAAATGTTAATAATTAGAACCTACTTTGCAATTTTATTCTATCGAGAAAATTACATGATATCGTGATTTCCTTTTATGCAATCCAAGATCATATAGTTAAAAATCATATACCAAAATTTTGGTTTGTAATCTATAAAACTTAAAAAAATATGTTAAATAGAAAAACCACCAAATTTTCAAATCACCTTAATAATGTAGAATCTTCAGAGAATCATGTGATTTTACATTTGTAGGATTATAAATATTATGTAGGAAAAACAGATATATCCAGCGAATGCTGGTTGCTATATTGATTAATTATTTTACTAAAAGCCCATGATTATTAATTAATTTATGCCTCTTTTTTAATAAAACAAGCGTATATCCGATGGCAACTTCAAACAAATAAGGTTACGGATGTCTAGTCACCTATGGACTGCGACACACTACATACGGAATTAATTCCGAGTCGGAATTCCGTTTCCGAACACCTAAGGTAGTTTTCCGTGAGGAATTTTGCGGGCAAAATGGGATTCCGTATCTGTGTGGCCGACCCATTCGTTCCGTTTCGGAATTCCGATTCGGGATTCCGAACACAGCAAGTTAAAATCAATGACCCATCACACACCTACATTAGTTTTCAGTACAGAATTTTACGGGCAAACGGGATTTCGTATGTATGTGTGGCCGACCCGTAGTTTACGAATTCCGTATGTAGTGTGGGATGGTCCTTACAGATGTAAGAATTATTTCTGGTTTATCTTCAGACCGGAATACAGCAGTACAGTCTTTGTTATTTGGCCACAAAATGTAAGAGGATAGTACTTATCCAGACAGACTTCTAGGCAGCAAAAGGACTCATACCACCTCGTAAGTGATAATATTGAGAAGATTGCAATTAGAATTACTATATATTGTGTGTACCACATGAGATAAATTTTGCAGTTCTTAATAAACAGAAACAGAAACATTTTTATTCAATACCAGCGAACTGCCCCGGCTTCGCACGGGTGATATCTGGATTCTGCAACAGCGTCACCTACAGGATCCAACTATGCCTATAGCCTTCGCACCAGTGCAAGCAATATGTTGACAAAGTTTTCGTAATATGATGAACGGTATAGCAGTGCAAAAATACGAACAAAGAAATATTAATTTTTATATATTAGATGGATTATAAATAATACATACTGAAAATCACTATTTTGTTTAATTTTCCACTGGTTTGGAAAAAACCTCTGTCGTGGGAAGAACCAGCAAGAAATCTAGCGGGACTAAAAAAAAACATTACAAAACAAATTAGAAATAGCTTGGTAATCATACCTAGAGGTGATTATCATCCATAAATTCCTTAATATTATAATAACCCTTTTTCTACAAACTTAATTTAAAAAGTTTTTGAACTTCGAGCAGTTTAAATGTTGTGTATTTTGAATGTTTATATTAGTAATGTCTCACAGTATTTTACCTAATGACCGTTTTCATTTATTTATAGAACCCAGTAACACATATGTAAAACTAATGCATGTTGTTATTAACCTACATAACCCAGCGTGGTCGCATGAGAAAGCTCAATAGCCGGACTTT